GGAAAGAAGAAATTATTGGACACCTGAGGGTGTACGGAGTGGAGCCCTCAGAAATGGGGGGTGCTTGTCCCTACCTGTCACCACAGAACCATGCAGCAAGGACACATCATTGGGAACATGTGTATGGGATGAACTAGAAAAGGTGACTCCGTTTTTACAATAGAAACAGGGGGATATACGGAAGCGTGTCGTTCACATATTACACATCAATGGAGACATGCCAAAAATTGCTAAATCTGAAAAAGAACTGACAGCCTATCATTGGTACGATGTTTTTATAGGCTGGTCCCTGGCCTCTAAGGGCATATTGTCTATTATGTTTCACGCATTACTAGTTGTGTTAATATTGTCCTATGTTTGCTTGTTAGGAATTTGTTGTACGTGCTGTTGGGCAAAAAGAATGTTTGTTATATTACAAATTACAAGCTCAAATTGTCTCTCAGTATATTGCTATGAAACAATTATATAAAATATGACCCACTAAAGAATTGTTCTTGAGGGGTCCAAAAGGGGACATGTAGTAGTAGGATTTTATGTTTGTATTTCATATAATTTAGAATGGAGGATAAAGAATAATAAGGTAGCATGTATTAAATGTATTGGTGTGTGATTTGATCATATCCTGCCAGTCACCCTTTTTGAATAGCAGAAAGAAATGGCCTAATGGGCCAATGGGTAGAGATACATCAGCCAGAATCTGTGTCTGGACTGATTTCAAGGCAGTAACAGACCTTTGAGGGTCACCAATTTGTTGTAGGTTTAGCATTTTAAAATAAGTAAAAGAATGCCATGGTTGTTTTTCTTTTACATTGCAACTTGATGTTCCTGTTCAAAATGTTCTGTGTAAATTAATTCTGTTTTGTGTGTGAATGAGGAATGTGTGTGTTAAGAGATAAGTGTGAAGGCCATCGCTGAACCAGATGTACGAGGGAGGAACCGGAGACAAGACACAAGGGTGCAAGGAGGCTGCAACAGACCTCTATTGAAATGTCAGAAGAGGGCAGATTGAGGGCTCTAAAGATGAGACTGGCACCTGTCTATGGGGACAAGATAGCTGTGATCGAAACCAGCCTGGGGTAACTCCCTGAGGAATTTGATGAAAGAACAAGATAAAGGATGAGAAGGACAATTTAAGAAAACAAGCACTCGTCAAACAACAATTGATTACAGCATGATGGTGCAAAACACATTGGTCCCAATGAAGGAGAATCACTGTATAAACAGGGTGCCTGCCATGAAACTTTGGGTTCGTCCTGCCAAGACTTCCCCAGAGCATCGTGTTGCGACCAAGAGAACCCGACTCCTCCCTACCTGTGATCAACCTAGCTGATCAACCTAGCTGATCTGGACTGGTAACTATAAGATCGACTGGCAGGACAGTGTCTGTGTGTGGGGTGTAACTGAATGCATATGCTAATTGTTGTATCTTCAATAAATGCGGCGTATTGCCTTTTCCCTTGAAAAAGATCCCGTGTGCTTCTTATAAGCATAACACCCTAAAGACCCCATTTCTTGCCATACCTGTCCGCGTCAGGGGGGAGGCTGAGGGGATGTGGGAGCCATTATAGGCCAGGCAGTGTGTGAGGCAGGGGGAGGGAGGGAAGAAGAATGTGGGAGGAGGGGAAGGGGGCTGAGACTGAGGAGGCTGGAGCAGGACAGTGACAGAGGAGGGGGGATTTGGGGTCCCCCCATGTGTGTTCCAGGCTTAACTTGCCCCGTGGCCATGGGGGCATTCCTGTCCCCTCTCCCTCCTGCCTCCCAGCTCCATGGGGGTTTTGACTGGAAACAATCCTGCCCCCCACTCCCAGCTCAGACCCACTGAGGGTGGGGGGGGCTACATGGCAAAGTGTGGGGAGCAGAGAAGGGGGGTAAGGAAAGGGTATTGGGGGGTCTGGAAATGTGGGTGGGGCAGGAGCATCTAGAGGGAAAGGGGAGGGGAAGGGGAGGTATGAGGGGCCATTATGGGGCAGGGAATGTGGGGCAGAGGGGAATGTAGGGGGCAGGAGACTGAGGGGAAAGAAAGTGGGTCACCCAGGACTAAGGGGGCAGAAGTAGGAGTGGGGAAGTGAGAGAGAAACCTGCTAAGACGTAGAAATCGCAGCTCCCTCCTGGGAGGGTACCATCAGCCTCTCCCCACTCACACCCCCAAAAAATCCTACCCCCCAGCTCTGACCTTTCTTGGGAAGCATATCTGCACTCAAACTCCTTTCCCCAATCCGGCCCCTGTTCCCTCAGCCCCCACCCTGGCACCCCCAACCTACTTCCCCCAAACTCTGCACTCCCCCCATCCACCTCCCTTCAAATGCCCACCATGGGGGTGCCCAGTGCACCTTGTTCTGTTCATGGAGATGCAATAAAGGGCCCAAGGTGAGAACACTCCCCAGCCCCTGCCCCACACTAAACAGGGTTAAACACAGGCTGGGGGTGGGGTCCAGAGCCCGCAGCCTGCTCAGCCCCATGGCAAACACCCCACTGACCCCTGGGACTGGCTGTTACAGACACAGCAGAGCAGGAACCAGGGGAGCCGTGGCAGGCACCGTGTGAAACGAAGGGTTTGTTCCAGCCCCGGCCCCGTTTGCTGGAGCGAGTCTCTAGCTGGAAAATCCCCTGGGTTTGGGCATCTCTCCGCTGGCCCCAGAGATGCTAGTTACTTTCCGAGGGGGGGGGGCAGAGGAACCAGCGGAGCTGGGCTGGAGCTGGCGTCACCGCGGCTGCTGTTAAAGTCCGATTGTGACGGGTTCAGTCCCAAAGACCCCCTTGGGACTGTCACCTGACGTGCTGGAATTACCTCTGAGCCCGTTTTCCACTGCCAGTTTGAGACTTCAGAACCCTGCCTTGTTGAGCCAGAGACGCTAGCCTGCTGCAACACAGACCCAGGTGTGATCCAAGCCTCCAAAGCTGCAGACTTTAACCAAAACCTGCTCCGCAGGTTTCCTCCCTCTAGCACCGAGACCCCCAGCTCCCAATGGGATCCAAACCCCAAATAAACCCATTTTCCTCTGTATAAAGCTTATACAGGGTAAACTCATAAATTGTCTGCCCTCTATAACACTGATAGAGAGATTTGCACAGCTGTTTGCTCCCCCAGGTATTAATCACTTACTCTGGGTTAATTAATAAACAAAAGTGATTTTATTAAGTATAAAAAATGGGATTTAAGGGGTTTCAAGTAATACCAGACAGAACAAAGTAAGTCACCAAGCAAAACAAAACAAAACACGCAAGTCTAAGCCTAATAAATTAAAGAAACGGAATACAGGTAAATCTCACCCTTAGAAATGTTCCAATAAGCTTCTTTCACAGACTAGACTCCTTCCTAGTCTGGGCCCAATCCTTTCTCTGGTACAGTTCTTGTTACTTCCAGCTCAGGTAGTAACTAGGGGATTCCTCATGACTGGCAGCGCCCTTTGTTCTGTTCCACCCCAAGGCTGGAATCCTTTGTCTCTCTGGGTTCCCACCCCTCCCTCTAAATGGTAAAGCACCACGTTTAAGATCAGAGTGGTAGCCGTGTTAGTCTGGATCTGTAAAAGGAGACAAAGAGTCCTGTGGCACCTTCATCATTCATCTGACGAAGTGGGTATTCACCCACGAAAGCTTATGCTCCAATATGTCTGTTAGTCTATAAGGTGCCACAGGATTCTTTGTAGGTTTAAGATGGATTCCAGTATCAGGTGACATGGTCACATGTCACTGTACGACCTCATTCTTCATTAACCACAGGCTGGCCTCCAAGTCCACAAGAAGGCTTGCAAGTAAATAAATCATCCACAGCCAATTATCCTAGTCAATGGATGCCATCAAATTCTAAACCACCATTAATGGCCCACACTTTGCATAATTACAATAGGACCTCAGAGTTAGTTTTATATTTCTAGATTTAGATAGAAGAATGATACATTCATACAAATAGGATGATCACACTCAGTAGATTATAAGCTTTGTAGTGATACCTTATGTAACCCCTTTGGGGTTTAGAGAGCATGGCCCTTTAAATCATTGTCCTAAGGGGGAGGGGGAGAGTAATAAAAAAGAAGGGAAACGCCAGGGGGCAGCGCTGGAGCTCCAGGGAGAGGGAGATGCAGCCTGCAGGCCCTGAAAAAGTGAAGCAGCAGAGAACCTGCCTGAAGCCTGGGAAGGACAGGGCCGATCGGGGACACCCCAGGACAGGAGCCAGGAGGAGCACTGTGCCAGGGAGGACTCGCCTGAGAAGGACAGGCCGGAGCTGGACCCAGTATCACGGCTGCCCAGAGCTGCATGGGGCTGGGAGTACTGGGGCTTGTAACTCTGCACTGGGGACAAGGAGGGAGGCTGCAGCTAGTTAAGTGGGGAGGGGGTCGCTCGGTGTGGCTTTGCAGAAAGCAGCAGAAGAGGGCACCGGAGGGGTTTGTTGGGGGAAAGTTCACTGGCGCCGAAGACGACCAGGAGCACCCAAGACTCACCCCTGGACTGGAACTTTGCTCAGGACTCCTGAACTCTGTATGCAGACACATTGCTCGGTGTCTGCCCTTCCAGACTGTGCTACCACTGGGCCTGTGGGGCCTTGGCTTGGATGCAGCCCTGTCTTACTGCTCCCCCTTTTCTCCTCTCATCCCTCTGTAAATAAATATTTCCCTTGTTATATCCACTGTACTTTTCCTGTGGGTGTGTGTGTTCACTCTGGGGGGTTTGGAACAGGTGCCCCTGGGGTGGAAGGGATTTCTCCTGCTGCATTCCTGCGCGCGCCCTCTCTTGGCCAGCGCTGCCTGCAGAGCAGACTCCATCTGGGCCACGAGGGCGCTAAAGTTACACTTACAAGAGACCTTTTGCATAAAGCATATTCCAGTTATGCTTATGAGTGTAAATATAATGTATTTCCATAAACATATGAAGTGCAACGTCACACACGGCATCGGGGGTTCAATCCTGGGGTGCCGCTGTCAGGTCGGGAGCTGTTGGGGGGGATTCTCTGAGGCAGGGGTGTTTGGTGGCAGGGGGTTTGTGCCGGCGTCTCAGCACCCCACGGTAAAGTGGCTCGTACCCCAGGGAGATTCTCTTCCCTGCACGGCTGGATCCAGGCTCCTGGGAGTGCAGAGAGATGGCATGTTAGAGGGGTCCGTGTCACCCTGGGCCCAGACCCTGGGGGGAGGAAGGGGCACAGAAGGGGAGGATCAGCTCACCTAGGGTGCTCCCCTTGGGCGGCTGTAATAGGCCTCAGCCAGGATCAGCCCCAGGACGAGCACAACCACGGCGCTCAGCCCCAGGCGGGCGACGTTGGTTTTGTTGAAATCCGGGGAGGCTGCTGTGGGGGGAAGGGAAGAGTCACTTGGAGATCAGCAGCTGGCGCTGCCCTGGGACCGGAGCCCCCAATCCGTGGTCCGGCAGGTCTGGCCCAGTCTGTGGTCTCCCAGGTGCTGCAGCTCTGAGGCCAGGGGGGTGTCATGTGGCCCAAGAGTGGGGGTTATTGCCCAAGGACACTGGCACCCAGCTGGGCCCAATTTCACAGCCCAACCCCCCAGATCCTGCCCCTCCCCTGGGATCCTCCAGCAAATTCCAGGCAGTGACCTGCAGTGCAGGAGGCATTGGAGAAGCTGGGGGTCTGGGGCTGCCCCTCCCTCTGATGTCTGAGCCCCACCCACCCCTGGGCACAACAACCTGTTTCCACAGCAATTGCCCCCCCCCAAACCCCAATTCCTCTATGGATCCCAAGAATGGGAGCAACCTGGCGGAGTATCCCCCTGGGAAAAGGCCCCTTCTCTGCAGCTCCCCCTGGGGAAGAGAGCCCCCTCCGTCTGCCCTGAAGCTCCAGTGGTTGCTGTTCCCCCCCACTGGGGAGCCCCCCAATGACTCCATCCCCACTTCCCAGCCAGGCGTCCCCTCTGCGGGGTCAGGGCTCAGGGCAGAGCCTGGCTCTGAGCGTCCCATTGGCACCGAGCCCCCGTCAGGGTCTGGCTGGGGGTGGGGCTGGGAACGGGGACACCGAGCCGGGCCCCTCACCTCTCACCACCAGCTCCATGGGGTCGCTGGGGTACGACACGGCGAACGGCTCCGATCGGCTGTGATAGGAGCAGCTGTAGCTCCCGCTCTGTTCCCGGCTCATGTTGCTGATGGGAAACACAGCCTCAAAGTCGTCTGAATCCATAGCTTCAAAATGGCGTCGCTCTTTATTCAGCACGAACCGCACGCCCCGGTGCTGCCCCCGACACCAGATGCTCACAGCTCCCCCCCTGCTGGTTCTCAGGGAGATGCTGGGTTTGGGGTAGCTGGGCTCTGCAGTGGGAAGCAGACAGGCCATGAGACGCAGGCCCCGTCACTCAGTCCTGGGGCCCGTCCTCACCACGTGGCCTCAGTGGTGGGTCAGACCCAGCGGCCCTGGGGACGGGCTCCTGGATGCCTTTCCACAGGGGCCAGAGTTTCCTCTGAGCCCTGGGCTAACAGCATGAGACACGGAGCAACCCCAGCCCCTGGGAACCCAGAGCTCTGCTCCCTAGCGCGTGACAGGCCAGTCCAGGCTCCAGGGTCCATGCACTCCCTGGCTTCTCTGCTGGGAAGGGAGTGGGGTCTAGCTGGAGAGCGGGGAGGATGGGGGCCAGGACTCTTGGGGTTCTGTGCAAAATACCACCACTGACTTTTAGGGGATTGTGCAAGTCTCTACTATACACTGAGGTTTATAACCTTCAGCTCCGCCCATCACCCCCTAACTGATGTGTTGCCTGGGAAAGGCCCCCCTACTCTGGAGCTTCCCCTGGCAGTATGGGTTCCCCCTTTCTCTGCCCCAAATCTCCAGTTGCTGCTTCTTCCCCCTGGCTGGGGAACCCACCAGTGACTCCATCCCCACTCCCTGGCCAGGCATCCCCTCTGCTGGACCCAGGGATCAGGGCAGAGCCTGGCTTTGAGCGTCCCATCGGTGCAGCGACCCCATGGGGATCTGGCTGGGTGTGGGGCTGGGAGCCAGGATGCTGAGCCAGGCCCCTCCCTCACCTCCTACAATGATCTTGACGGGGTCGCTGAGTTGCGATGTGATATTCTGATCCGTTATGGAGCGATAGTCGCAGGTGTAGCTCCCTCCATCTTCCCGGCCGACACTGCGGATGGGAAATTCAGCCACGGTCCCATCAGGCACCGACTGCTCCTGCAGGTTCGGGTGTCCAGCTTTATGTAGAAAGAACTTCATGCCTGGGTACAAACCCTCACAGCGGATGGTGACGCTTCCCCCGAGCGCCACCACCCTGCTGGGGCTCACCCAGATGGTGGGTTTGAGAAATTCACGCCCTGCTTTCAACAAGAGACAGGAGTTAAACAGGGGAGACACAGCCCCCACCTCCCCCCGCCCCAATTCAGTCCATCCGTCATTCGGCCTCTCTAGGAGTCTGTCCCCTACGAGGGTTGGCACTGCCTGCCCATGGGGCTTGGGGGCAGGGGGTTCACCCAGACGTAGCTCAAGATCCAGCTGCATCAGAGATCACCTGCCCTGCCCGTCCCTCCCTCCCCGGCCCCACCACAGGCCAGCCAGGGAGCCTGACCAGTGGGCCCCCAGCAGCTCTGCCCCCTGCCCTGTGGTTGTAAATAGAGTCTGTGACCAGTGGGAATCACACAAGACCCACCTTTCCCCAGGTCTTTTCACGTGTCTTGGGAACTGTGGGTGGGGGGGCTGCGAGTGCAGGGGAGGAAGCTATTGGGGATGGATCTGGGGGCAGGGGTGGATCTGGGGGGTTCTCCCCCATGGCTGCACTGACCGTGAATGTTTCGGTTCCCTGAGGGGATCTAGAACCCATAGACAGGCCCTGTTAGCGTTTGTATGAGCTGAAATAAATCCACGTGCTGCCCCCCCGATCCTCACAGCCTGTGGGGGGCAGGACATTGAACCAGGGGACGGTTCCCGTCTGCTTCCTCAGACCCTGGGAGCCAGATTTGGCTCCTAGTTACTCCATTGGTGGTCGGGGGGCACAGAAGAATGGGGCCAGGTCTGAGCTCACAGAGAGAGCTTGGGTTGAGTTTGGGGGGAAGGTTCAGGGCTCAGTTCCTCTTTTCCCCACCCCACGTATCCCCTCCCCCATCCCTGATGTTACCATCCTCCCCACAGACTGATACTCACCTCCCCACACCCCGCTGTGCCCGGCCAGCCAGCAGCCTGGAGAGGAGACGCTTGTTAGTGACCAGATCCCAAAGCACCTGGATCCCACACCCTGTCTCATACTCCCCCTGCCCCCCTCATGGACACACAGCCTGGCTGTCTCCGATACTCACCGAGGAGGACGGTGAGAGCAGATGCCATGACGGGGCAGTGGGGGCCCCTCAGCGCTGCCACCAACATCCTGGTGCTGAGCTCCACCGAGCCTGAGGCCCGAGTGCGAGCGGAATGAGGAACTGCGCCGGGGGCTGCAGCCCCAGGAAGCCCGTGATGCGCTCGGCCCTTTTCTTCCCCATCAGATGGTTTCTCTGCACTCTCCAGCCGAAATCTACCGCGGTCAGAACAAAGTCAAGTTCCTGCAACACCCAGCAAACCACATCCCCTCCTGCAGCTGCCCAGCCCCCACCCCCGCATCATCTCCTAGCCCCACATAGGAGCTGCCCAGTTCAGGGACCAGCTGGGAACAGGGGGAATCTCAGCAGTCGTCAAGAGGTGCCCAGGCTGCCCTGAGCTTTTCCAACAGGCCCATCTAGCCTCCCTGGAGCAGCAGCTCAGAGCAGAGTAGGGCATCCCCCCCCCACCCACACACACACACACAGTGCCACCCACAGAGCGACCCTCTCCCATGGAGTGGGGCATTGATTCCTTCCTGACCCAGCTGGGCCCAGCGTGTGCCCTGGAGCATGAGAGTGGAGGGGCCTGGACAACCTCCTTCTCAGGTAGTGTCGCTGTGCACTGTGATTGTTGAAAATACTGCTAAAAGGTATCCCATACGTATAACGTATCAGAGGGGTAGCCGTGTTAGTCTGAATCTGTAAAAAGCAACAGAGGGTCCTGTGGCACCTTTAAGACTAACAGAGGAATGTTTGCGTAGAGAGCCTCTACATCCATGGTGGCTAGGATGGTGTTTTCTGGGAGGTCACCAACGCATTGTAGTTTTCTCAGGAAATCTGTGGTGTCACGGAGATAGCTGGGAGTGCTGGTGGCGTAGGGTCTGAGTAGGGAGTCCACATATCCAGACAGTCCTTCAGTGAGAGTGCCAATGCCCGAGATGATGGGGCATCCAGGATTTAGTCTTAAAGGTGCCACAGGACCCTCTGTTGCTTCATACGTATAAAGTGATCCATCATTCAGCTGTGCACACTCCCGGTCATAGAAGTGCCGGGCAATAGGGGGAGAATTAGAGTCCTCGCTCCTACCCGTCTGTCGGGGAAAACTATACAAATAAAATATATACAAACTGTGTAAGTATATACAGCCCCGGTCGTAGAGGTGCCGGACCATAAGGGGGAGGATTAATGTCTTCGCTCCTACCCGTCTGTTTGGGAAAAATTGCATAGGTGAATATACCCTCGGTCATAGCAGGATTGAGCCCAAAAGGCAGGGGGCTTAGCGTTCCCCCCTCCTGCTCGGTCAGGCAGAGTTTTTAGTGGGTATAGACTTTCGGTGTTTTGTAAGTTCCAGCACAAGCATGGGCAAATAAGGAATAGATTTCTGTAAGACCTTATTGTGAAGGATATAGGAGTGTGGGATATTGTTATGATTTTACATACACATTGTTCATTGTACAAAACACGTCACATTTTTTAGCTCATTTCAGAGAGATGTTTTTAATTATGTGGTTTTGCTACATTTTTTTTTTTGGTTACAGATAGGGACAAGCACAGGGCCGGCTCTAGGATTTTTGCCGCCCAAAGCAAAAACAATTTTGGCCGCCCCCCCCGTTCTTTAATTACCCCACCCCCGGCCCCACCTCAACTCCGCCCCTTCCCCAAATCCCCAGCCCTGCCTTCTCCCCCCAGGCTCTCAAGCCTAGGAGGGAGGGAGGGAGGGGGAGCAGTGGTGCGCGAAACGGCCGCTCGGGATCTCCCGCTCCCTCCCAGGTTTGAGAGCCTGGGAGGGAGGGCGAGTAGCGGCGCACGAATCAGCTGTTTCGTGCGCCGTGGCAGCAGCAGCGGAGGTGAGCTAGGGCGGCCGGGGCACATTTTTAGGGGCGGCATTCTGGCGCCGGCCATGCCGCCCCTAAAAATGTGCCGCCCCAAGCACCAGCTTGTTTTGCTGGTGCCTAGAGCCGGCCCTGGACAAGCACACCCATTTCTGAGGGCTTCATTCATAGAATATGAGGGTTGGAAGGGACCTCAGGAGGTCATCCAGTCCAACCCGCTGCTCAAAGGAGGACCAATCCCCAGACAGACTTTTGCCCAAAATGGTCCTCTGAAGGATTGAACTCACAACCCTGGGTTTAGCAAGCCAATGCTCAAACCACTGAGCTATCACTCTTGGGTATTCAGTAGTTTTCTCTTTTTTTCAACTGACTGACCCATAACCTGGGGTAGCCAAAAGGATCCCATGGTCA